TCTCTTGGGCCAGGAACAGACTAAGGAGGCCCGTAGGAGCAGGAGAACACCAGAGGTGAAGGCAAATGGGACCAAGAACAGAAGGCACCTTCCCAGGAGGGCCAGGGAGGAGGGAAGCCGATGGGCCCTGCCCCCACCCCAGGTTAGCTCTACCCCAGGAAGAGGGGACAGAGCAAAAACCCTAAAGAGAAGGTGGCTGGGTTGTAAACTTACCTTAACGCTTTAATCCCTCAATTTGCCCAAGTTTATTCAAAACCCATACCATTACTTGTTCATTTAAATTTTAAGAAAAATGGGACCCTCTCCGTAGATAAATGGATAAAGGCTTGATAGACTCTTCACAGCACAAAGAGTTAAAACAGACACGGAGGAAGGTTCTACTTCATTCCTCATCCAAAAAAGTAAAGTGCAGGGCTGTTAACACGCTTGGAAACCAGTGGCTTACAACCCACTGTGACGCCAGAGCAGTCCATCAGGAGAATGGACGGATGGACAGATGGGGCTAACTGCATAGACGTGCTCTGCCTTGACCCCCGCGCCCCCCCTCCAGAACACCTGGAACCCTCTGACCGTTCCTGAAAGTCAGTTGCAGTCATGGACGGGCACAGCCAGGTACCACGTGGCCGCGTGCGCACCGTGTGACCCGCGGAAAAACAGGCTGAGCTGCTGGCGGCCGCGGGCGTCTACACGGGTCACGTTGGCAGTGCGGACACAGAAGCAGAGGATCAGCCAGAGACAGCGGGGGGTGTGTACTTTGGAGGTTTATTTAATACACGTTTGTGATGCAACGACCACTCTAAACGCCCTGAGACCCCCCAGATCTCAGGGGGCTGCTCTGTCGGCAGTGAACGAGGCTCGTGCTCCTGGACCCTGTGACACCCCATCATCCGTCCTGAGACCAGGACAGTCGCAGCCCTCACAGGATCACAAGAGGAGCCTGTGGAGTGCTGGTGGACAGCGCAGGCAGCCACGGGGGTGTCGGGAGGGTGTCTGAAGGCGAGGACGTGACATGGAATGACACAGCTTGGAGACTGGGGACACAAAACAGCTGGCGAGACTGTTTGGTTCAAATGGAAAGCCAGATGAGACAGTGCTGTGGGTAGTGAGCACTCTAAGAATTCCTCCTGCCTTTCACATCCGCATTATCCTGTGACAGTACCATAATAGAAGTTTCTAGATGTGTGTCTTTCGGCAGGAAGGCTCCCCTTGGTGGCACTCCTCTTAGACTATTTCTTGGTTCCCAAACAGCTCTCCCCTGGCACCCTGGTGTGCCAACAGCTTCCTTCTCCTGAGGACGGTGACCCCTCGGGCATCTCCCTCCGGTCCCCAGGACAGCCCCAGCGCCTTGCTCCTGAGTGGCCCATGGTTACACCACGGGCTAGGCCAGCACTTTCGGGGGCAGCCCTCAGCTTTCTGGGCCGGGTTTCCTCTGCCCCGAATGATGTCGGCATCCCGCACGGGGGCTCCACCTTCTACAACCACCGTGATTCCCGGACAGAAGCGGGGCCACCGCAGGCCTGGTGTCCTCCTTCCTCTGTGAACTCGGGCTCCGCCTGTGTCACAGCGTGTGTCAGTCAGAGTGGGATTCTCAGATTGGACTCTCCTGTCCCCTCGTTCCCCAGGAAACAACAGATGCCACAGTCCCCAGGGAGCCACAGCACCGCCAGGTGGGTGGGCAAAGGAGGGGCCAGTCTGGTCTTGTAGCTTTGAGCTGACTCGTTAGGGGTTGAATTGTGTCCTCCTCAAAAAAGAGATGTTGGGGGGCCAGCCCAGTGACGTAGTGGTTAAGACCGTGCACTCCACTTTGGTGGCCCAGGGTTCAAAGTTTTGGATCCCAAGTGCAGACCTATGCACCACTTGTCAAGCCATGCTGTGGTGGCGTCCCATATAAAGTGAAGGAAGATGGGCACGGATGTTAGCTCAGGGCTAATCTTCCTCGCAAAAACAAAAAAGAGAGAGAGATGTTGGCTTCCTAACCCCCTACCTGACCTTATTTGAAAACAGCATCTTTGCAGAGTAATCAAGGTAAAATCAGCCCGGTGGGGTGGCCCTAATCCATAGGACAGATGACTGTGTTCAAGGGACAAAGTGGGACAGAAGGGAGCCCTGGGGGTCCCATCAGGCTGAGCGCTAGGAGCATGCCCACTCACCCAAGAGGCCTCCTTTGTGGGTCAGTGGCCCAGGCTTGACCATCTGGTAACCTGGGCCTTCTCTGCAGAGAGGGAACATTCCAGAATCCTTGGGAACCACGCCCTGGGGAAGCAGTTTAGGGAAAGACACTAAGGAGAGACGTCACACACACTGGATAAGCGTCCACTCTGGTCTTTATTAGACCTTTGATGCTGGAGGCTGCAGAGCCTGGACACACCACACCAGCCAGTGTGGGCGCCGAGGAGATGAGCCGGGCTGCGGCCAGGGGACACTGCGGGGCGAGTCCCTCAGCCTGGCTGACTGGGATGGAGCAGCCTTGCTGCAGGGTGGTCTAGTTGGGTCCAGAAGGTCTGAAGTGGACGACACCTGGGCTGCCCTGTAGGAGTTCAGAGAGTCGACTGCTTCTGACCCCACACGTGGAGGAGGGGTCCTGGGAGGCCACAGGCTCAGGAGCAGGAAGGGGTGCAAGAGGGGACGGGTCTGCAGAACAGAGTGGGGCAGGAGGGCCGGCAGCACCCGGAGGACTGGCAGGAGGGGGCCACACACACAGTGGGCCTGCAGCTCACGGGCACACACGGCAGGTCTTCAGCTCACAGGCGCGCACACGGCTGGCCTGCAGCTCACAGGCGCGCACACGGCTGGCCTGCAGCTCACAGGCGCGCACACGGCTGGCCTGCAGCTCACAGGCACGCACACAGCAGGCTTGCAGTTCACGGGCACACAGCAGGCTGCCTGGCAGCCCGAGGAGCAGCTGGTGTGGCACATGGTGGTGTGGGGCTGGGCTGGGGCTGGGCTGGGGCCAGGGCGGAGGACGGGGCTGGTCCGCAGGCTCCTTCCCCGGGGTGGCCTTCATACCAGGGCTGTGGGCGTCCTGGCAATGAGTCACACACATACTTTCCTTGTGGTTACCTGGTTGTTTTCTTCGTCTTCCTCTTCCTGGAGGAAGTCTCTTCCTGGAGTTTCTGGTTGAAGTGACCCAGTTCAGGAAGCTCCTTCTCAGCTGGAGACTCACTGTGACTCAGCGACCCTGTGATTTCTGGAGTTGGAGCCCAGGATGGATGGTGAAGGGCCCTCAGTTGGGGACAGGGGGACCCACACCATGATTTTCAAGGTCCTCCCCTCTTTTGAATACCCTGTCCTCTGTCTGTCCTAGGACAGTCATAGTCACTGCACCAGGGTCCCGTATTCTGCTTCGGACACTCAGTGACCCAGAAGGACTTCCCAACTAATGAGAGTAAGTTGTTGGATCCTCACTGGGAAGAGCGAGGACCACAATACCCCAGTAATAACGTAATAACCAAGTTCCAGCTTTGTGCCAGGCACCGTATAAGCACTTTACATAGACAATCTCATAACTGATTAATTATCCATCCTGCCACCATTCAAGGGGTCGATGATACCCCATTGCTACAGATATGCACTTAGGAAGATCTAGAAGGAGTCCATGATGTGGGCACGCTCTCATCACCGCAGATGGTGAAGCGGCATTTGAAGCTCTTGGTTTCACTCTGGAATCCGTGATCTTTACCTTTGTGCCAAATTATGTTGGGGGTGTAGGGGTTTTCTGAGATTCCTGAATCTGTAAGTTAGACATTTTTTATAAAAAGATCAAATTTGGGAATTTTGTCCATTATTTCTTGAAAACATTCTTATGCATCAATGTCATCCTCTTCTCCTTTTTGGGTTGAAATTACTTGTATTTTAGACTTGCCCATATTGTCTCAAAGGCCCTCTTCATTTTTGTTTCTCTTTTTACTTCTTCTTTAGATTGGATAATTTCTACTGACGTGTCTTCAAGTTCACTGATGCTTTTTTCTTCTATGAGCCCAGGATTGTGATGCCTGGTCCTCAGGCTGCAGGATCTGAGTCTGTCCACCTGCCCCTGCACCCTCGCTCCCCACACCATAGGATTCCCCACTGCTCCTGGGACGTGCTCGCTTCTGCAGCACTGTCCTCCCCACCATGGCCGCCTCTGCCTGGAACACCACCCCCTAACCCCTCCATGTCCCCCAGTGCCAGCTCAGAGTGGCCTCCTCACAGAGGCCCCCAGACCACCCTCCAGCACCCCCGTTACTCTCTATCCTCTGAATCTGTTTTCCTTTCCGGGCCTCAGCCCTCTCTGGAATTATTTCATGCAAGAATTTCTTCATTCACTCATTTGTTCATTGCCTTGGAAGGCTCAGGAGGCCAAGACATCTCTATGGCCAGCACACAGTATATATTTGCTGCATGAACAAATCAATTCTTGTATAGATTGCCATAAGGCAGGACCTGGGACAGGGGAAGGCGTACCCTCTTCCTAAAGGGCAGATAGTTAGTATTTCCGGCCTTGCAGTCATACCATCTCTCTTGTCACTACTGAGCATTGTGGTGCAAAAGCAGCCCGAGACAGCGCGTAAACGCCTTGGCATGGCTGTGTCCAATACAACTTTATTTACAAACAGGCAGCAGGCCAGATTCATCCCACTTACTTCAGTTTTTGAGCCCTGTTTTAATGTGTCCTGTGCAGAATAAGAGATCAAAATACATTATTGCTTCAAAGTCTCTGTTGATGGCACGAGACAAACAGGATTGAAAGGACACAGTACTCTGAGGGGACCGGGGGGCGCTATGTGCATGATGATGGCTTGGAGAAACCCCAGGTAAGATTAAACGTCCCGTTCCCAGAAGGAGAAACTGGCCTAAAGCCAAACTTGTTTGTGGCGGAGCCTAACATAGGGAAGTGCATCCCTGGATAAGAAGATGTTGGGGAATGTGGTGGAAACAGCCGGGAGGAAGTCAACTGTGTGCTCTGTGTTGTCAGGACGCCCACAGTCGGGTATAAAGGGCGCCAAGAGAAGGATCCTGCAGACACCACCCCCTCCACCCCAACACCGGCCCTCCCCACACCACCATGTGCCACACCAGCTGCTCCTCGGGCTGCCAGCCAGCCTGCTCTGTGCCCAGCCCCTGCCAGGCATCCTGCTATGTGCCCGTGAGCTGCCAGCCAGCTGTGTGCACACCCGTGAGCTGCCAGTCTGCTGTGTGTGTGCCCGTGAGGTGCACACCAGCTGTGTGCACACCCATGAGCTGCCAGCCTGCTGTGTGCGTGGCCCCCTCCTGCCAATCTTCTGGGTGCTGCCAGCCCGCCTGCCCCACCCTGGTCTGTAGACCCATCTCCTGTAGCTCCCCTTGCTGCTGTTGACCACGAGTCCCTTACTCATCTGCTCCCAGTGCAGACGGGTGCACACCTGTACCCCTCCCGGAACAAGTCCTCAATGGGCCTCCAGCTTCTACACGTGGCAGATGGAAAGCAGGCTCAACGAACTCTCTGAACTCCGAGGTGAGAATGTGGCAGGATGATCTGGATCCCTCCGTGACCCTGCCCGTACCCTCAGGGAAGCCCTGGCTCCCAGGGTCCTTCTCTGTCTCCAGCAGGAAACCAAACCCCGTGTGAGCCAAATAAATCATGCTTTCCAATGCAGCTTGTCCCTCTAGTTTATCTTCATATAGTTTTGAAGTCCTTTCCTTGTAGGTGTTTACAAATCACAAGCACAGCAGCCCCTGCACATAGAGCCCTCTTCCCGATGCCTCAGCTGAAGGTGGGGCCCTGGGTGGGTGGAGGGGGTGGGGAGGTGCTGTCCCTACATTGACCAACTGAGACTCACATTGTGGATGGGGAAGGGCAGAGGGAAATGTTCCCTCCCCCTGAGTGGGGGACGGGAAACAGGCCCGGGCCCCGGGTCCCATGCGGTACCCTAAAGGATTACTACACCAGGGAGGGCAGGAAATTCTCACACAGTCCCACCAAATACAAAGCAGGGTCTGGCCGTCCCTGAGAGGAGTGTCAGGAAGTGAGACGGCCTCGCCCTCCAGGTCCCAGGCACCCAGGGCCTCCTCAAGACTGACGCTGGGACAGGACGCCAGAGAGCCCTCCTCCCTCCCACCCACCTGGCCAGCACAGCTGCATGAGCAGCATCAGTCTCCACCCGGGAAAGGCTGACATGTGTCGAGGTCCCCTACGTGTGCCAGGCACTCAGGAGGAGCTGAAAACTTAGGGCGGAGCTAAAACACTGCACCCCCAGCCCTGGCCCTAAGCACAAGCTGTGGGCAGCCCACCACAGGAGGAATCTGAAGTCTTTGGTACCCTGAAGTTCATCACAACAACAAGAAAACCCAAACCAAGGTCAACATGTGAGTAGGTTGATTCAAACCAATCCACACCCACACTAATGACCTGACAGAAGACACACCCATTTCCAGGAGGAAACAGTGTTCACGTCCATTTCAATTAATACGTGATATCTGATAATCAGTCAAAAATAGAAGTCATTCAACAAAGCTGGGAAAAATCAGTCCATTGTCAAGAGTCAAAGCAATCAACACAACTGGATTCAGGGGGCCAACCTGGTGGCATAGCGGTTTGGTTTGCGCGTTCCACTTCAGCAGCCTGGGGTTCACTGGTTCAGATTCCGGGCACGGACATACTCATCTCTCATCAAGCCATCCCACACAGAAGAACTAGAAGGACCTACAACTAGGATATACAACTATGTACTGGGGCTTTGGGGAGAAAAAAGAAAAAGAGGAAGATTAGCAACAGATGTTAGCTCAGGGCCAATCTTCCCAAAAAAAAAAAAAACTGGACTCAGAAGTGACCTAGTTGTTGGAGCCATCAGACAGAAACTTTAAAATAACTATGACTAGGGAAATAAGTCAGACAGAGAAAAACAAACACTGTGTGATCTCACTTATATGTAGAATCTTAAAAAAAAAAAAAAGATGAACTCGTAGATACGGAGAACAGATTGGTGGTTGTCAGAGGTGGGGGCGGGGGGTGGGCAAAATGTACAAACTTCCAGTGATAAAGTAAATGAGTCCTGGGAATGTCATGTAGAGCATGGTGACTACAAGAGAGAACAAGTTAAGATACTTAAAGAAATCAAGGAGAGAACTGTAAATATGAGAACAGAGTGAGAGTCTACTAAAATAGAGGAAAGACACAGACTTGAGGAAACAAATAGAACTTCTAGAAATAAAAAAAATCAAGTCATGGAAATTAAAATCTCAGTGGGCAAGTTACTCAGAATATTAGACACAGCTGAAGAGAGAATTAGACAAATCAGAAGACAGTTGTGGGGATATCACCTGTCATCCCTTTCTGGAAATTGCCTCAGCTGAAGAGAGCTGTCTTGACCAAGGGCAAGTCCCCTTCCCAAGGCTATAAAGGCCTGGTGTGGGGCCCCAACTCAGAAAGCTCTAAAGGACGCTCCCAGCTTGAGACCTCCCTTTGGGGTCATTGAGACTGCATCATGGCCTCACTTTTCCTGAGTCCAATCCTGCTCTCTTCCCCTCCTCAGGTACTGACCCCAAGAGAGCTCCCTAATAAGGTTTCTGCACGTTAACATCTGGGGGCCTCCATCTGCAGCAGAAAGCAATGACAACCCATTAGCAATGAGTGTCCCAGGATCCCAGACTGTGGTTGCTAAATCTCACGTCCCACTGAAGAGAACCAGGGACTCCTAGAGGAATGGTAGATCACCGGGGCAGGAAACGAGCAAGATGAGTCTGGGACATCTTGAGCCCCAAAGCAAGCAAGCTTTCAAAGACTCCTGAGACCATGTCAAAATGACACAGGAGCCAATCTGAAGGGGCACCCACTGATGCCCACTGAAGAAGGAGTAATTTCATCCTCCAAAAGAGTAACTCCTGCTGTAGACCAAAGCACACCAACTATATAAAAACCTATATGCGCATAAAGATATAATATGGCATATAGATATATTTATATGCACGTGTGTACAATTGGAAATCCGTAGAGGCTACTAGGACACCAAAAATTATTCTGAAAATTGACTTTAAAAAGACAGAATAAATCTTGTATTTGGCCTTTCCTGTAAAAACAGTATTTCAGAGTAAGCAAATAGACACTGAAGAAAAGTTCTTCATTATAGAATTCCAGCTAGTAAATGTAGAAGAAATGAGAGACTTAGAAAATCGCCATTTTGCAATGCCCAGTGACATAATGGACTGAAGCAATAATTCTCAGTGGCTACTAAAACCCAGGCTGAAGGAGTGATGGGGAGCAGGCTGACACACCCAACCCAGAGATCAACCTCAACATCCCCCAGCTGAGGCCCCCAGACGTCGTTCACCTCTTGTGTGATGTGTTGGGAGCACACAACTCCTCCTGTGAAATAGTCCTGCAAAAAGAGTTGAACCTGCATTTCAGCCAATCTGCAGCTCTCCCATTTTACAGGAAATACAGGAGGAATATTTTAAACAACTCCTTAAAGACACAAACAACCTAACTGAGAATGCAGGAAACTCCCCAGGATAAATAATTGGGTTTCTTCAACAAATAGAGGCTTTAAGAATTGCTATAAATCAGAAGAGACTTAAGAGAAGCAACACTCACGTGCTTTGTGTGAGTCTTGTTTGGATCGTGATTTGAGCAAACCAGTAATTTAAACGTCTTAATTTAGACAATCAGAATAAATGGGACAGACTAGGTATTAGTTAACCACTGTTTACAGCTTAATGTTTCAAACTTGTATAACTGCTCATAGTAGGTACATTACACAACTGTAATAGACATGTCTGTCCATCCACAGATTTTTGTAGTGTGCTTAAACTTAATCAATTTGCTCCTCTTGGTAAAATATCAAGGACTTATTCCCACATCCATACACATAGATCTACCTTGTGCTTTTTAATGCCCACGTAGTGTTTCATTAAACAGATATGTCAAAATAACATCAGTTCTCTATTAATGGTCTTCGTCTTGTCTCCTTTTTTGTTGTTGTTGCTATTACAAACAGTGTGACCATAAACACCACTTACACATATTTTTGTGCAAGCAATTCTGTTGGGCCAATTCCTAGGAGAAAATATCTGCCTTTTAAAGGAAGAGGAAATGTGCCCCAGGAGACAGCCTGCCCAAGGCTGCCATCAGAGCACAGCAGAGCTGGCCTTCACAACTGGGTCTATGTGGGCCCAAAAGCTGATCACGTCTTGCCTCTCCTGCACCGCCTCCTCCTCTGGGGACTCTTCTAGGCTGTGCAATGAGTTGACTGTAAAAGCTTGGCAGGGAGCTGCAGCAGCATCCTGCAGACATTTGAAACCTGCAGCCACTGAATCTGAGGATAGAAGCCTCTGCATCGTTGAGTGACATTTCTCAAATTGGTATCCAATAAACTGATGGAGCCCACAAGCCACCCACACTCGGCGCTTGGACAGTCCCCTGCAGTAACGAGGTGACGGCGAATGAGGAGACCACGGGCACGGCAGAATTCCTCCAGGGATTACACTCGGTAACACACACCAGCCGCACCCAGACACTTCAAGGTCCATTCCATTGTTTCAAGGACTCAGGAGAAGAGAGGACAACAATGCCTCTTGAGTGGGTGGCCCCGAGAGAGGCTCCCCTATCTTGTCCCCATCCAGGGGGCAGTGGGGCTGACCTGGAATAAGAAGGCTTCTTTTCTGGTATCTCCCCAAACCTGTTTTGCCCATCTCTGCGAAGGAGTTGTTGCCTAGCAACGGGAGACGGGCTGTGACGTCCTTGGACTATTCTGTTCCACTCCAGTGACACTTAACTCTGCTTGATTATTAGCACACAGACTGGGGAGCTGACAACCTACTTTAAAAAAAGACAAGTTCTATAAGATCACCAAGGGGCAGAAAGGGGACTTCCAGTGTGGCTTTATGAAGGGGTCTGGCTAGTGCCAGATTTTTCAGTTCTCAGAAAGAACTGTTCTTCCTGAACCCGCAAGAAACCTTGGGGAAGTGGACAACAGGTGCTGAGAAAACTCTTTGAAATACGAGCCATTCCATTTACCTTCTAATCTGCCAAGTTGTGATGCAAATGCGATATTTGCTGGCCTGCCTCCCTTGACATTTATAGCCTTTATGCTTTGTAAGGATATTAAGAAAGTGCAAAATAACATGGTGTGGATAACTACGATATAGCACTAATGGACTTTCTGTGTCTTTTTCTATAAGAATGTGTTAATGATTTACATTTTAACTCAGAGTCACTGTTGACATAGGGGTGGAAAGACTTTTCAAAGAGCCATTTCTATCACCAGGTAAATAATCCTAGATAAGTTTTGGCTTACCCCGAGACTCAAGTGTCTTGGAAACTTTGAGGTATGCCCTTGGGAAAGTTAGCTTGGCCGCTATCCTCCCAGAGTAAACTATCAGCAAACAAAAAAAAACAAAACCCACTTATTCACACAAAGAAGACTCAGGGTGCTTTCCCACTGCTTGTGGTTCTAGATTCACAAGAGGGCAAGAGCTGTCTTTGCTCAGTGTTGCAGGACAGGCTGCGAGGATTTCTTCCACCCGGCAAGTCAGAATCCCTATAAAAAGAGAAGAGAAAGAAGTCACCCCACATTCCCACTCCCTAGAGAACCACTGTTGAGATTTGGGGCATTGTTTATAAATCCTTTTTCTGCATTGTGTGTGTGTGTTGCATACA